CCACACCCATACACCCACACCCACACCCCACCCTCGTTTTGCATGTGTCTGTGTTTCCAGGGTGTGGGTGTGGGGTGTGGGTGTTCTCTTCCTTCATACCCACACCCATACCCACACACCCACACCCACACTCATACCCACACCCACACCCACACCCACCCACATCCACACCCACCCCACACACCCACACCCACACCCACACACACCCCACACCCACACTCACACCCTCTAAGTTCCTATAATCTGTCCGTTTTTCCGGGCTAAAATATCGGTTATTCAAACGAAAACGAGCATTCTATTTGATCTATATAGTACGTTCTATTTAATTTAATATTTCAAGTGTTCAGGTGTTACCGGTCATTCGCTGAATGTTTGTTCTTTAATTGAAGTTCTAAGGAACTCATGATTATTATCCATTTCATCACATACTGATATTTGACGTAATAACTCGTACCATTCAATTGGTACACAAACGGTTTTTTATTAGAGAACAGAGGGTCTTCTGTAGATCGCACTATTTACAACGTCGCGATAGCGGTAAGATCTGAAATTTCTAAAGTCATTGCAGCGCGGCAGCGGCGAATTTCCAGCTGCGATGGACATCTCTGTAATATACTTAGTACTTGTCGAAAAAATTCAAATTATATCTTAAAATAATCAGATACTATCCTAGGAAACCCTCAAACAAATCCGTCGATATGAGTAAAATGTTTTTTCATAAGAGATGTCTAATACATGGGGTCGAAATACACCTGTAGAAGATCACAGGTTTATATGTGATCGCTTGAAATTCCTTTAGTTTTCGTCGATAGTTTTCTGATTTTATTCTTGATTAATGTTGTCGAGTTAGTGATGTAATATACGAAAAAAAACATTAAGTATAAAAGAAACGACTGCACAGCTATACCCGTGTCTTTTTGTTAATCCTCGTATTAGTGCCGATAACTTCGCGATGATTTCTGATCGTGGTTTGATTTAGAAACCATGACTGTTGTGTTGCAATTGAATTTCTGGGATTGAGTCGCTGATTAGTTGCATGTGATTCCCTTTCACGTTGCGAATCACGTTTTCTTCCTTCTAAACTTTTCAAAATGATGAATGCGTGCCGTAACTGAATATCATCCGCAATTTTGAAAGATTGAATATCGTTTGCTTCGACATCAACAGTCCAAAAATCAGATCGGCCAGCAAATTTTTGTAACGGTACATAGAAGCTTAAGTTAGTATTCATTGAGACTCGTAGTAGAAGTCTTTTCAACATGTTAATCCAGCAATCTAAGTTTTTCAGACAGGTTGCTATCATTATGTTTCCAGATGTCATTTGAATAAACTGATCGATAAGGCAAGTTTCATTGTCAACTGAAAGTAATAATGGTCCTCGTGAATCTTTTTCAATATGATTTCGTAAAATTTTTTCGAATCCAATTTCTTCTAATAATTGATAGAAGTCAACAACATATGCTAGTTCAATGGTCGAAAAATTCGAGTCTTGAAACAATTTATCACTAAAACCCATTTTAGAATGAATATGCTGTTCAATAAATGACTTAACCGTAAGACTATGCATAGATTCGCGTTCACAGTGCCGTAAATATGTAAAAATTTGATCCAGTGAACCAATGTAGTGAAGAATATCACCGTTTGGAATAGTATCAATTAATTTTTGCAGTTCACTTCGTTTCTTCTCAGGCAATAACTTCTGTTCACTATTCCTACGAACATCAGTAATTAATGAAGCGTTTTCTTCATACAGTTCGAATTGATAATTAAAAAAATGTATTCTATCTGTATCGATCAATGGCAAACAACTAATCTTTTCACGAATCATGAATTCGATTTCCTCAAAATCATAAATTATATCTTTACCCTTTCCATATTCATAGTTGATGACTGATGCATCATCCATCAATTTTCTACTGATCACATCTTTGTCCAAACATAGAAGGTGTTTTGGTTGAAGAGACTGTAATGGAACAGTCTGCGGTTGAACTCTTTTGTCTGCTGAATTTGAATTCATAATATCATAAAAATGTTGAACAATCTTATTTTGTAAATCACTAATCGTTTTGATACAAGCAATTAATAAAAGACTATTAGGATCTTTTGACGAATTTATGAATAATTTAGCTATTTCTGTTCTTTGTCTAAATTCTTCTGATGGATACTTATGTTCGAACTTGACTGGTTGAGAATCTAAGTAAACCTCTTTAAAGCTGAGTTGATACCATGCTTCAATAAAGTCATTGTATAACTTCAATGCCATTGCTCTATCCGAATCATTGAATAAAACTTCCTGGATCGTTTTCTTCTCTGCATCTTTACGCGTTATTCGATAATTGAACTTCTGATTCAAATAGTCAACAAACGTGATTATCGGATGTAGATATCGAATATTTGCACAATCATCAGATCGTTTAAGAAAGAACATCGTCATTGCATATATCTTATCAGCATCAGACAATATTCGAAGTTTAGCATGAAATGAATCTATTGGGTTAACTGTATAATTGTTGGTCGTATTAAAGAAGCTTAATAGTGGATGCTCATTTTCATCATCAACAAGTTCATCAATCAAATCGTCCAATGTTAAATGAGTATTGTGTCGTTTCAAAAATTTGTTACAGGTTAATTTGTATTCCCGAATTTCGTTTACTATTGATCCAATATGAGGAATAATTAATTTATTTTCAATAGATTTTTCAAATTCAATAACCCTTTGATTATGATCCAGTGAACCGTCTTGCTGAAAATCACCAATGACCAAGTGATCAATCAATTTGTACAACCATATATAACATTGATCTGGATCAGTTGATAACTGACATATCAACTCGTAATCCTTTTCAAAGTGATCTCTACAATCATCACGATTTGGTTGATATGAATTATCAAGCAGATCGAGTTCGTGTAAGATAAGAAGAATAGCATGAATAATCATATGAATGAAACGATATGATATAGATAGATTTAGATGATCAGGTTTTTCATGGATATTGCTTAGTTTGGCAGATTTCATATTGTGATAACCAAGTCTAGGCGTGCTATTTTCATGGCTTGTATGGTTTTGATCATCAAATATGAAACCTGGTAAACATACAGTTTTCAAATGGTCTCCGTAATTTTGTGGCATTTTTCGACGTTCATCAAACAGGATGCTACTGAATAAGGTAACATTTTGATCAGCTTTGCATGAAAGAAACAAGGCAGTAATGTTGAGCGCGAGCAAACGTCGATATAGTTCATCTTGAGTCATTGTTTCATGCAATCGAAAATAAGATGTATCACGAAAATTATTACAAAGTAAAAATAAAAATTTATAGCCAATAGGTTCAAAATATTCGCTCAATTTTGTATTCAAATTTTCCATAATACTTTCAAATTTATTATTTGGTGCAGCATTTTTGTAGAATTGGGCATATTGATGCACAAAAAACATGATAAAACAATATGACAATTGCTGATTTGTCGAATACTTGTCGATGAAAGTTTTTTGATTTTCTATTGGTGTATCATCTTTCAGTACATCAATAATGTTCATATATTCTTCCTTAGCCTGAAATAGAGTTGCTGGTAGAATAATATTTTGACTAGATTTTCGCTGTTGCTGATATTTGTAATGTGAAAACAGTGTCTTAACCCAAACGCAAGTGCGGTTGACAAAAATCTCGTATAATCCTTCAAGATCTACATGACAAATTTGGCATAAACTTTTCATTATGAATATTTTTAGAGTTGAACAAAATGCGGATTCAGTATTTGTTAAAAGTTTATCAATATCGTCCATAACCATACCACGGCTATCTTCCATCAATGAAAATGCGTAGATTTGAAGATAAGCCTTGAGCCATGCAATTGAGGCGATCATTGTAAAGCCCGGATCAAATGAATGAGCACGGATATTCTTTTGGAAAATATCATAATATTTAGTTAGATAGCTTTCAAATATAAATTCATTTCTTTCGTTGATATTTTTGTCACTTTCAAATACATTTTCACTCCTAACGCAATTGAAAAGTTGACTACTTATGCGATTGATCATAATTCGTTGGACTTTCTGTGTTTCATTGCTTGATTGAGAAAAATATTCATCAAGGTTTTTAAGTTCTTCTATCGATGATATTTCATCGAATCTGGTTTGAACAATTGACAATAGATCAAGTTTTTGATCAATATATTTAAATATTTTCGCAGAATGATGCCAGAAATTTCTATCCGATTTGTAGATATAATCAAGCACAGTACAATACATGTTACCATGATCGATTAGCCAATTTTTTAAGAACTCTACTTCAAGTTTCAGTAATGGTCGACAAGTAAATGAATCAATTGAATCCTTACGATGAGAGTTAATCCTTTTAGTTAAAATTCTCATAAATTTACTGATATCATTACATGTTGGAAAAGTACCATTAAAAGTAGTGTTATTGTAAGACTTGAGGCAAATATTCTTGAAAACAACTAGAGCCTCATCATTGGAAAGTAGATCCATAACACAATATACAAGACTTTCAAAGGAACGTAATTTTTCTAAATTGTATATTTCATATTTGTTTAAAGCGAGTATACTTTGGACGATAAAATCATATGCAGTTGATAATTGTACAATATCATCAGCGCGATCAATAACTGTTGACGAAACAAGTAATTCGATTAAGTTCATCAAACTGGTTTCGATCAATGGATCACCATTGCACTCATAAATTCTATCACTATCAAAGGATTCTTGTGGTAGAATTTGATAGAATTGCTGTTCTACTTGAATAAGAACGTACAGATTAGTTGGGTTATTGAATGTTACTATTTTAGTCTTGTTAAAAATAAGAAATTGTTCTTCGAACTGCCATTTATCTTCTCCAATAATTTCTAAGCCAATCTCAAATAAATTTAATAATTTAATCAATTCATCTTGATCAAGAAGAAAGTACTTCATTTTATTTTCGACAGTTAAACTTGGATTCATTGTTAATAATTTTTGTGCGAATGACACAGATAAATGATTGATACCTAATTCATCCAAAAGTATTGCAATTTGGTCGTGAAAATAATGTTTAAACAGGTTTGTATCATCGAGAATATCCTGAATATTCTTTCCATAAACACTTGTACTTCGTAATTTTTCCATAGCCAAAGCTAATAACTTATCTTCAGATAAATTAACATCAAGATTTTCATCACCATTTTTAATCATTTCATATATTTGACGAATGATCTGACGTTCTAATCGTGCACAAGGTAGTCGAAGATCAAAGATAAGTGGAATTTCAACTGTATCCATAATTGTAATTGTTCTTGGAATCGATTGAAATACTGATCGTAAACAATCAAGCCAAATACACCTCAAACTTTTATACATGTTTTCATTTCTTTTTGAAATGAGAAAGTAGCAAGAATCGAATAATGAAGATTTTTCAGCTTCAACTAGAAACGCCAAGAAATAATTGCAATAAAAGAGTAAAACAGTCATTTGCAGAGCACTATCGATTGATCGGCAAGAACCGACAATTGTTGGATTGTTGAATAGATCTTGTCGCCAATCATTAGATTCTGAACGTACACAATCCAAATCAGCTGTCTTTATTAGTTCTATTAGATGAGTTTTAACGACTTCATTGAGAGATTTAGTATCAATACTATCCAGGATCAACAAGTCAAATATGGAATCACGACGCTGATTGATTAAACCTTCTTTGTTTTTGCATCTTACTGTATAACGAACTCGTACAAAAGATTGAGTGAC